GAGGGAGAGAGAAAGAGAGAGAGAGAGGTAATGAGAGAGAGAGGAGTTTCTACTTTATCTGAGTAGCAATAAAGAGGCACCACCACTTCATAACATCTTCATCATTACAGAGACGGGGTTTGACATCTGCTCTAGAAATACTGATTTGGCCACTGTGTGGAGAAGGGATTGGAGAGCAGAGAAGCTGGAGGCAGGAAGATCAGCTAGGAGGCTCTTGCCATAGTTCAGGTAAGAGGGAGAGGCCATGAGGATCAGAATAAGAGTGGTGGCTATGTGAGCAGGGAGCAGGAGATGGGTAGAACAGATGCTGTAGAGGGAGAATTGACAAGGTTTAGCGCCTGATTAGATGTGAAGGCAGGAGTAATGAGCTGCTAAGGCCTCCTAGGGGGTGAACTTCGGTGACTAAAAGGGCCGGAGGTACTCTGGACAGAAATATGGAAGGTAGGAGAAAAGATGGATTCTTGGGGGAAAAGTGATTTCTGTTTTGGACAACTTGAAAAATGACCTCACCCCTCAGTGAGCTCAGAATAGAGTAAGGGGACAAAGAAGACACATCCACAGCCATAATACAAGCTAGAATTTGGTAAGTGCATAGAAATCCAATTGCAACATGAGAGGTTTGGTCAGGAGGAGATGATTGAGGATCATTTCTGGCGAGGGATCTGGGAAGGCTTCGTGGGAGAGAGGGCACTTCCATCAGGTCTCGAAGGAAAAGGAATTCAACAGTAGATGTGGACAAAGTCCATTCTAGGCATGGAAGCTGCCCTGCACCAATTCATGAAGCCAAGAGTGAGTGAGATGGAGTGAGGGAACAGCTAATACTCTAATCTGGCTAGAACCAGACTGAAAGAGGACCTTGAATGCCAGGCTAAAGAGTTTTTATTTTATCCTGCAAGCAATGGGGAAGGAGAGAGGGAACACATGGTAACTTTCTGAGCAGAGGACCGCTCAGGCCTTTCACTAAGTAGTGGAATGATTACATGTAGCTTTTCCCACACACTTTGTGACTACTTCGTGTCATTTTCTTTTCAGCCCAAACTGATACCGGATCGCCCTTAATTCAACAAGTCTAAGACTAATGCAAACAAGGTGCTTAATGCTTACCTAAATTCTGTTTAATGAAACCGTCAGGTAAGGCCTGCTTTTTGTTTTGCTTTTGGCTTAAGTTAATTCAGTTTAATTACAGAACTAAAACAATCATAGTTCGTTGACATCCCAACACTTATTACCTGTCTGTAGCGGGTCAAGTAAGAGAAGGAGGATTTCAGATATCTGCTTTCCGGAAGCCTCCTCGATCAGTTCAAGCAAACCCAAAAGCAGCTCCTTGGGATGACAGAGCTACAAAGACATTAACCATGAAGCGCCTTGGTTACAAAAGCAGACTTGCAACCACATGGATACCGTTTGCAAATGATGACTAGCACTTACATAGTACTTGAAGGCCTGCAGAGCATTTTATGTGTATCTCATTTGCTTCTCAAAACAAGCCGATAAGGGAAGTGTTATTATTATCCCCATTTTACAAATGAGGAAACTGAGGCTGAGAGAGGTTAAATGACTTGCCCAGGGCCACACCAATAGTAAGTGTCTGAGGCAGGATTTGAACTCAGGTCTTCCTGACTCTAAGTCTAGAACTCTACCCCCTGAGCTACCCATACAACTGTCTTTGCTTTGCAGCAACAGGCTTCTCCATGTAAACTGTTGTTAAAATACCAACACATACAAATATATATTTAGGTAAGGCTGTGGTTTTATGCAGGGTTCTCAAATCATCACAAGATAAACAAAAGAAAATCTACCCATGTATACAAAGGATCTCTTGCTTGGGCACACAGACCTCCTAAGACAAAGAGAAAAGGCAGGGAGGAGGGCAGCTGATTTCCAGAAAGGAGCGCTCTCTAAATGTCCCCTATCCACAGACTTCCTGAAAGTGTCAGTGCTTCCAGCACCGTCAGGGACCCAGACCAGAGCTTATAAACATCGATTCTCTCCCTTTTGCAATTTTTTTGCTAGCAACAATTCTCTTCTCTTTTCTGACTTGGCCCTGGTGTCAGAAGGGGACTTTTATAGTCAATGAGCTTCCCTTCCTCCAGGCTTATACAGAGAGCCTGCCTTGCTACTTTCTCTGAGAACTCTCTCAGCCTTTCCAAAAGGACACTGAAGCCCTCCTCTCCTCCCTGAGCTGCCAGCTACGTCCTGATCTGTGCTTTGCTCCCTACTTTTCCTTATCAGATAACCTCAGAGATCACTGAGTTTCGCTTCTTCCCAAACCGGGAATCCCCCCTACAACGTCCAAAGTATTGATCTACTTCTCCTGAAGACCTCCAATGATGAAGAACTCACCACTCCACTCTAGCGGGAGATGGCCCATTCCAATTTTGGAAAGTTTTCCTTATGCTGAACATCTGCCTCCCCAAAACTTCCATCCAGGTCTAGACCTTGACCCAAGCAGAACAAGTGAGACTCCTCTTCCCTAAGACCACCATACCATATACGAACACCCCAAGAGGCATTGTGGGACAGCATATACAAGGATGATCTGGAAGTCACAAAGACAGTTTCAAGTCTTGCCTGACTCCTCCGAGCTCCCAGACAATGCCGAGACTGTGAGGAGCAGAATTAGTGATCTGCGTAGAATTAGTGATCTGCGTTAGTAGAGGGGCTCCCACACATGGAGGTACCCACCATAACAAAATCACAGGTCTGGACCAAAAAACAAAAAGAAAGCAACCTCCTGAATGCATTTTTTCATCTCCAGATTAAATTCTTCCATTTCCTTCAACCAACATTATTAACATGGCAAAACTTTTCTCCTCACCCTGGTCACCTTTTGGGTGAGTTCTAGCTTCCCCTCTGATATTTAACCCTGCTGTGACCCAGTGACACTGGGAAAAGTACCAGGAAAAGTCCTGGGCGTGGCACTAACAAGTCCTGTGACTTTGGGCAAGACTCATAGCCACTCTGGGCCTCAGTTTTCTCATCTACAAAACAATAGGTTGTCCCTCCCAGCTCGATGATTCTCCCTCCAAGTTCAGTGAGAGGGCCTTTGCTCAAAAAACTAAACCAAGCTAAAAAGAACCAAACTTGCCCTGCCTCCAAGTCTTGTGACATGAAAGATTTCCTACCAAACGACAAGAACTCAGGGGTTGAAAACTTACGAGAATTACAGAAAAACAAGGATTCACTCACTTACCTTTACCAACAAATGAAGCATTTTCAAACATTTTTCTCTTTTATCAACTTCCTCTTTATGACGTAAAAAGCATCTAACAACCGGGCCACCGAGATTCCAGCCCATACTCCTGATGATAACCTGGAAAAGCATTTTCAGAGGCAGTGAGGCAAAACTCCGTTAACTACACCAGTCTCCTGGCATGCTTTTCAAATATGGCTGTTCTTAATACTCCTCAAATTATTACAAATAAGAAAAAGTTCTATGTACATGCTGCTTTATCACGGACTTTCAAAATAATTATGGGGCCCTTTCTGGGACTCAGTTTTCCTTATAAAAATAGAGTTAAACCTCTTTGCTGTGAAAATAAAAGAGAGATTCTGTTAGCTGCTGTAGAGGGCCAAGTGCATGAAGTATTCAAAGATGGCAAGTGCTTAAACTCATAAAGAATATTTTCCCCATAAAAATCCATCGATCACCACTTAACAGAGATCCTATGAGGAAAACTCATAGGAACATTATAGTCAGATTCAAAACCCCCAGTTCAAGGATAAAATATTAAAAGCAACAAGAAAAAAACAATTTAAATATGATGGTGCCACAATTAGAATGACACAAGACCTAGTAGCGGAGACATTAAAGGACCAAAGGTCTTGGAACACTATATATCAAAGAGCAAAAGAATTGGGGTTCAGGCCAAAAATATCATACCCAGCAAAGTTAAGCATAATCCTGAATGAAAAAAAAAATGGACATCTGAGCAGTTGTCAGACTTTCAATATTTTGTTAAAAAAAACCTCGAACTTAATAGAAGATTTGACATACAAGAGCCAAGAGAAATATAAAGTACATACCAAAGACTAATCCAGATTGTGAGGGATTCAATATGGACAGACCAATAACTTTTTACACATATGTAAAATGCAAAAGGTATGTCTAAGATTCTTATTAATAATTGGGTAGCTCATAAGAAAGATCGGGGTAGACCGGAGTACGATATGACTTTAAAAAGTGAAACCATTTAGGAACAGCTAAGAAGAGTAATAATTTTGTACAAATGAGGAGCCAGAGGAAGAACTGATACAGGGGAATTAGAAGGGGGAGGAAGGCTGGTAAGTTCTGGTAACCTACTTTCACTGGAATCAGTTCAAGAGGGAACAATACATATATATTTAGAAGAGTATAAAAGTTTTCTAAATTTAGAAGAAATAAAATGATGAGGGGATAAGGAGGGGGGAGAGGACAAGACAGGGATCTCTAGAGGGGAGGGTAAAGAAATAGGTTATAGGGACCTATGGAAGGGTATTAAGATTTATGGGAATGGGAGGATAAGGGAGGGATCCTTAGAGAGGGGTAGGCTAAGTAACAGAAGGGCAAGGTAGCAGGTAGAAGTAAAGTAGGAGTCAGGAGGGATAGGAAATAAGAGATATGCACAATATAATTGGTTGTATTTCAATATAAATGGTTTCCTTTGTAATCCTATGTATTTTATTGAATGTGTACGTGACTCTGAAAAGGCCTCTCCAAACTGCCACAGGGATCCATGACACTATTATAACTGCCTCCTAATTGGTTTTTCTGCCTCCATTTCATCCTTCCCTTTGCTGCCCTAGTAATCCTCCTAACGCACTTTTCTGATGTCAATAAACCACTCAAAGACCTTTGGTGCCTCTCTACTGCCAACTAGAGGGATGAACTCCTAATACTGACATTTTCTGAGATTGTCCCTTGCCCACCTTCCCAGACACATCAAAAGTCCCCTTTACATAGTCACACTCTCAGGCCAAATTAGACCAATTCCTGTCTCCTCATTTTCATCCTGCCCTCCCCTACTGTACTTTGTTCATAATATCCTTCCATGCCTGGAACAGAATCTTCCCCTCCCACCACCCAATCTCTGATGAAGCCCTTCCCTTCCTCCAAGGCCCAAATCAAGTACCATCTCCTCCCACAAACATTTCCTGAAATCCTCTACCTGGGGTGAAAGTGATGTCTTCCTCCTCAAATTTCTCACAGCTCTTCACCCAGCCCTCTCCTTTGCATCTGATTTATTCTCCCTTATAGTTGTGCCTTATACGTTTAAAATCTTTTCATAAACAGTCTATTTTCTTTATCCCATAAGTGACTTTCTTTAAAAGGAATAAAAGAGTATAATATTAATTTATTGTTTGGATGGCTCTGTGAAGACAGAAAATTGGAGCTAGGGTATAATTTGTATAATAAAAATTATACAAATATAGCCTAGGCTTTAAATTAATGAGTCTCTTTCTAAATACCACCAATTTTGTTCAAGAACATAAGCATGAACCCTTGATCTTAACTTAGTTTTATTTAATTTTTTATGAAGTATACAGCACAAATTGTTTTAAAATCATTACTAAAAGAGTTCTACATGGCAAACAAAAAATATTCAGCTGAACCCCATTTTAAATACTGCTTTACCAAGATGTGGATTTGTGCATCACCTTGGAATGTTAGGCTTAAGCTGTTAAGCTAAGTATCCCAAAGGTATTAGCTATTTAGATGTGCACTAAGAATGGAACACCCAGGCAATGCTCAGTTAGTAGAGTTTGGGCAGGGTTACCCAAGGTATCTGTTGTTCTCTATCTAACAGAATGTAAAAAGTTACACATGACAGTTGAACTTACCTTGTTCTTTTCATTTTCTAAAATGTCTAATACCTGAGCAATGTACCCTTCTTCTAAACACTTTTGGCCTGCTAACTGAAAGAGACCAAAATCTTCTTCTTTGAAGTCCTCCTCTTCTAGGATTTGCTTTAGAAACAACAACAAAACCAGGCAAGTGAGCATTTATTTACACATGTATATAACAAATTAAATCATTACTTGATTTTTTTTTAGTCTTGATCTTCACCACGGTACAAATACATAAGCAGAACTAATAACTTTTCTAAATTGTATTCAAATAAGCTATCTTAGAATCCAATGTACTAAAATTCAGAAATATTTAGGAAGCTGGAGAAGCAAAATATGTGTGGTATCTCCGCTGCCCCCACTCCCACCCCTAGGTACGGTAGGGGAGAAAAAAAAGCAACACTGCTCCCCGAGAAAACCTGAATGTCCTGCACTGTGGACAAGGCATTCTGTTGTACATACGAATGACAGTGTGAATTCTTTTGTTCAAAGAAAATTACTTACACATCTGTTTATTATGGATTGAAGTTCTTCCACAGCCATTCTTGAGTTTTCAACTTTTCTTTCAGTTTTACTGTAGAGATCCACTAAAAATAGAATAATTGTTCATATTTATATAGCCTGCTTTAAGGTTTACAAAGGACTTCATATACATTATTTATTTGATTAACAACTTGTGAGGTAGGTAGTACATTTATTATTATTTCCACTTTACACATCAGGAAACTGAGGTTATTGAAGGTTAAGTGATTTGACTGCTATCACACAGTTGAGATAGGATGCGAATCCAGATCTGACTCCAAACTGAGTATGACTCTATGCTCTACATCAGTGGTATCAAATTCAAATAGAAATGGATCCCTCCTGGCCACACTAGGAAACCACAAATAAACATTATTTATATTATATTGTATCTATCTTCATTTTGTTAAACATTTCCCAATTACATTTTACTCTGGTTCAGCCTCAAACTAGAGTTTTGCAAGAAAGAGTCTCTGGCCCTGAGTTTGACGCCTTAGCACTACATATACCACACTGCCTCCAGAAACACTGCAATTAACTGATTCAGATATTTTATTTTTACATTAAGGAGTTGGTATATATAATTATACTTCTGCATTAAGTATTATTATGAAAAATCTAATAGATAATTTTAAGAGTTTAGTAAAAATCATCGCTGAACTTTAGCAGTCTCTCTATGGAAATATTAAAGATGATAAAAAAAAAACCAGGGGTTGATATTTTAAAAAATGAACCTGTCATGTATCCTCTAAATTTTCTGGTTCCACATGCACATATTTATATGAATATTTTTTCTGAGATGTCTCCACTTTCCAGAGGAAAGGGTAAACATTTTGCAATGACTCCAAACACTGAGAAATCCCAGGTCTAATTCAGCATTCTGGTTCTCTGTCAGTGACCCCATATGGGGTCTCGACACAGAGTTTAAGCGCTGGGGTCAAGAGTAGAAAAAGTCTTTTAGAAACCTTGCTCTAAACTGATGGGGGTGGGCTGCTTTATCATTCTTGGATTCTATACTTCTAGAGTTCCTTTGGAGATTGCAGTATTCTAATGTCATGGGCATCAAAGCATCCTCACTCACAGGGTCATAGGCTTAGATGTGGAAGAGGCGCTAGAAATCACCTAAAGCAACCTCATCATCCGTCAGAACTAGGGCAGTATTCTAGGATTCTAAAACCACACCACTCAATCCAACAAGCATTCATTAAGGGATTAAGGTTACTTAGATACTTAGCCAAAAAAAAAAAAAGAGCTTGTCCCTGTATTCTCTCCCCCACCACCCGATCTTTTGGCCTCAGGATCACCTATGCTGACTGCCAACTCCCTCAGTTTACAGAGCAGAAAACTGAGACCCGGAGAGCTTTAAGTAACTTCATCCCTTGCTGGGAAGGAGAGAAGTCGAATGGATGGCTTTTAAAAGAAGGTTCTCCTATTTCTGTGAAGTCAATCATTCAATCGAGGATCATTGGGAACAGACAGAGACAAAAAGCAAGCTAGCGAAGCTTCCTTTGCTGGGTGGGCGCCCGGACCCTGCTTGGCCTCAGGGCATCGTGACATTGATCAACACCTGAAATTGACACCTGGGAACTAAGTGCCTACTGTGTGCCGGGCACCTCGTTGGGGGAGGGGTCCGAAGAAAGAGCTGAACAGTCCTCGTCCTCCAGGGACTTGCACCCCAAACCCCGAGCCGGTGGGTGGGGGCCCTCAGAGGCTGTCGTGGGCGACCCCCCTCATTTTACAAGGGGGAATGATCTGCCCGGAGTCTCCCGCCCTCTCCCATGGGGGCCCGGTGGCTTCAGCCGAGATTCAAGCCGCGTGCCCCGGATCCGGCCCCGTCCGCCCCCTCGGTGCCCTGGGCTGGGCCGCGGCCTGCACCGAGTCTGGGGACTCCCGGGCGCAGGCCGCGGGCCCGGGGCTAAAGCCCTGCCCAGCGCTGTGCCCAGCGACCAGAACGCCGCGGGCCCCTACCTGCCCGACACTCTCCCGCCGGCCTAGGCCTCCTCTCCTGCTCCGCCTGCCCCTGGCTCCGCCTCGACCCCGCCCACGGCCCCGCCTCACCCGCCGGGGGAGGAGGAGGCGGAGCAAGCCAGTGGCGGAAGCGCTGAGGCCCCGCCCCGGGTCCCGCCCCCATGTCCGCAGCGCGTCACAGGCTGGGGAGAGGAGGAGGAGGAGAAGGAGGAGGGGCCGGTGATGGCGCCATGGAGGACGAGCTGAGGCCCTGACTCTGACCCCGCCCCCATCCTGCCCCGCGTCTTATATCCCACGATGTGGGGGGGAGGAGGCGGAGCCTTCGCGGGACAGTCAATGATTGAGGAGCTGAGGTCCCGCCCTGACCCCGCCCCCTGACCTCCCAGTCCCCGACTCTAGCGGAGAGAAGGAGGAGGAGCCGGTGAAGGCGTCATGGCGGACGAGCCGAGGCCCCGCCCCTGACTCGCATCCCAGGCGGCTCTGGGAGAAGGAGGAGGAACTGCTGGTGGGGCCGTCATGGAGGACGAGCTGAGGCCCCGGGCCCGCGGCGGCCCCCGGATCAGGAGCTCCCGAGCCGCTCGCAAAGGCTCAGGTAAGAGCTGGCGCCCCGGGACGCGTCACGTCACCCAGCCCCACGAGGGACCTGCCCCTTGTGGGGGGTGGGGCTAGTCAGGTTCCCAGGGCGGCCCAGCCATCCCCCTTGGAGGATGGGAACTCCCCTTAAAGCATGGGCACCGCCTTGGAGAGAGGAACCTCGTTGGAGGATGGGGACCCCCCCAAGGGACCCTCCTTAGAGAGAGGGACCCCCTTAGAGGATGGGGACCCCCTCTTAGAGTATGGGGACCACCCCCTTAGAGGATGGGGACCTCTCTTAGAGCATGGGCACCCCCTTAAGAGATTGGGGTCCCCCCTTGGAGGATGGGAGCTCCCCTTAAAGCATGGGCACCACCTTGGAGAGAACTCTGTTAGAGGATGGGAACCTCCTTAAAGAATGGGGACCCTCCATTAGAGGATAAGGAACCCTCCTTAGAGGAACCCCCTTAGAGGATGGGGACCCCCACCTAGAGAGATGAGGCCTCTTAGAGGATAGGGACCCTCTTTAGAGCATGGGGTCCCCCGTTGGAGGAGGGGGACCCCATTCTTAGAGAGAGTAACCTCTCAGATGATGGAGACCCTTATTAGAGAGAGAACTCCACTTTAAATAATGAGGATCCTCCCGCCCGCCATAGAGGACTGTGCTTGTTTGGAAAGACAGCCCAGCCCATCCTCCCTTAGAGAAAACTATGCCGCACCCCATAAAGGAAGGACCAGGCAGTTTCCCAAAGAGAACACCCCCCAGCCCTTAGAGAGAAGAAACCCTCCTCTCAGAGAGCTGTACAGTTACCCAAAAGCAGCTCAGCCTCTTCCTTCCCTCGAAGAGGATAGTTTCTTCCAGCCCTTAGAGGATGCTAGAGGAATGGACATTTCCCAAGGTAATCCAGACCATTTCTCCCCTTAGAAGACTCCTCTCTACCTCCTTAGAAAACACCATTCTCCTTAGAACATTCACTATCTAAGAGTGACACCCCCACTTTAGGGGATTCTTGTCGTTTGCCAAAGGAAATCTAGCTCGTTCCCACCCCGTGCCCTTTAGAAGACTGTCTATGTTAGAGGTTCCCCCTGTCCCCTTTGAGAAGCTGTCTGAGGAATACTGTGTCTGCTATCCTCCTGCCTTCCCTAGTCTATGAGAGTGTAGGATCATAGATCTGGCTCTGGAAGGGCCTCAGAGGCTCAGAGTCCATTTATAGATGAGAAAACTGAGGCCCAAGTCAGCTCATGGACTTGCCCAAGGTCACAGTAGTAAGTTCTGTCCACCATCCAGGGGCCTGTAGAGAGGTGCCTCTGAGGCTAGGAGGGTTGGATGAGAACAGGGTCTGTGGGCCGTCCTGTATGGCAGTGCAAGAGCGATGGGATCCTAAAGAGTTTTGTGCCCTTTTTCCCTCCTAGGACCTGTACTTCCACTTCTTCCTAACGGCATTGCTAAGTGGGGAGGTTTTGGGGGGAGGATGCAAGCGTATGGTGTCCTTCAAAAGTGATTTAATTTCCAAGCAACCTATTAGTTGTGTAAGGGGGGGGGAGGAGGGGGTGGTCTGTGTGTCCTGCCCAGGGAGTTGGACAGACACAGATCAGCTGTTGGCCCTGGGTAGGAGCAGCTGGTGGCCTAGGGGATAGAGCTCTTCACCTGGAGTCAGGATGACTTGAGTGACCCTGAAAGGGAACTGGGGAGGAGGGTAAGGTGCCTCCACTGATCCATTCTTGTGAGTAGGAAGGAAATGATGGGCAAGGGCCTTTATTCATTTTTTTTATTTTTTAAGATTGCTGAGGATTTGGATTAACCAACTGCCCTTGTGGCCTAGGCCAATTTGGCTACATTGAGCTATTAGTTATAGACACCTAGGTGTGAATCACTTTAACCACAAAATTTAACACTTGATTGTGATCTGTCCATTTGGGAAATTGTGGTACTGTTTTTAGTGAAAAGGAGAGTGGGAGGGTGATAGAGAATTCTGGATAGCTTGTGGTAGGGGGCCAAACCAAGGGGGAGATGAGTAAGGCTTTGAATATGCAGTGGCAGCATCTTTGAAGTTCCTGGTTCAGATTTGGGGAGCTAGAAATAACTTTAGAGACAGCCCATTCCAATTTCTTCAGAAAGGTCAAAGAGTTAGAGAAGGCAGAGCTCATTGTGGGCTTGAATAACAAGGACAGCAACAATAATAGCATTTATAACAAAGCGCTTTACAAATATTAACTCATTTGATCCTCACAACAATGGTGGGGTGAGTAGGTGTTCATAGGATGCTTTCATTATTATCCCCATTTTACAGATAAGGAAAGTGAGGCAGATAGGTTAAGTGACTTGTCCAGGGTCACACTGCAAGGCAGTATCTGAGTTCCATTTTGAACTCAGTTTTTCCTAACTGCAGGCCAAGAAAGTCTTCATGAAGGAGATAGGACTTTAATTAGGCCTTAAAGAATAGTTGTGCCTTAGGTGGAAGGAAAGGCATTTTCAGGCAGTGAAAACAGCATTGGAGAATAAGGAAATATCTAACAGGAGTGAGGTGTTCCTGTTGAGTAACAGAAAAATAAAGATAGATATTTACAGAGCTGAAGGAGGTCTGAAAGGTCAGAATCTGTTCTCTCCTTTGCTTGAAGCCCTCTAGTGTTGGGAGGACACACCTCCTAAGGCAGCCCATTCCTCTTCCGGATGTCTCTGAGTGCTAGGACACCTTTCCTTATAGCAAGCTTAAATATTCCTTTCTGCACTTTTCCACCGCAAATGTGTTCTTTTACCCTGCCTCTCTAATGGTCAAGCAAAGCTAATCCCTCTTCTATGTGAAACAGATATCATTGACCCTCAAGTTCTCTAGGCTGAATGTCCCCACTTCTTCAGCTCATCTTCCTATGGCACCATCTTGAAGCTTCCGCTTCCTAAACTGTAGTCTTTGTTTCCTCCTTCAGCTGTTCTTCATCTATGTATCTCTAACACAGTGGCCTTGTACATGAGGAATCCTGTTGAACCTTCGGGTCCCTAAATCCTTTATTTTGTTTTATTTTTTTTTTAGACAAGTATCTAGCTACCCGACTGCAACTTGTGAAGTTTTTTTGTTTTTGTTTTTTTTGTGAGGCATTTGGGGTTAAGTGACTTGCCCAGAGTCACACACCTAGTGAGTGTTATGTCTGAGGTCAGATTTGAACTCAGGTCCTCCTGACTCTAGGGCAGGTTCTCTGTCCACTGCACCACCTAGCTGCCCTTGAAGTTGGGTCTTTTATATCCGAGTGTAGACTATACCTCTGTGATATCATCCTCTCTAACAGTGCATATTCCAATCTATCCACGACAAGCTCTCTCATCCTCTTGGCCTTGTTCTCCTGTAAATACTCCTTGAGGTATCCACCTAAATTTAAATTCAACCATGTATATTAACTGCCCGCTATGTATGCATCAGTCACTGTCGGGGAGGAAGACAAAGACAAAATCAAAGTGATCCCTCTTTTCCCTGTTCTTGTGTTCTACTGGAAGAATGATGGAGTCCTCCTTTTTCCACATCCTTTGACATTATATGGCAAAACTCTTCAGGCCACAAACTTGAGACCTGAACTAGATTAAAATGTAATTGGGAAATGTTTAACAAAATAAATAAAAACACAATACAGCATAGTTAATGTTAATTTGTGGTTTTCTAAGTCAGTATTTGACAGGTGGGATCTGTTTCTGTTTTAGTTTGACACCACTGGTGTTTGGGAACCACTTGAACACCAGTGACAATGCTTAGATTATCCCTATTTCAGGGAAGTGGTTATTATATTAAAAACTTTGCTTTTTCCCTCCCTTTATGCTACAGCCTTCCTGCCCCTTTACCTAGGAATGATGTTACCTAGTGTTTTCCTTTTGGTAGATTTTTTTTAACTGGTTGTGAAATTATGTGCCATGAAGGAGATATGGAAAAGAAGGAAAGAAGATAGTTGGACTTGCTTTGTTTGGTCAGGGCACTACCTAAGGTGCCACTGACATCCACTTGACCCTTATACAGTATCTTTTTTCCCCCCACAGGTGGTAAAGAAACAAGTGCTTTGAAAAGTGAAGAAGCTTCTAGAAGGTATGGCAAGTACTGGCAGCCTTTTGTTTGTCTATTTTTCCTCTCTTACGTAACATTCCTTGCTGTTATTATGGATTACTATTACATTTGAATTGTGTGTTGCGACTGTGGTGGGAGTTTCTTAAAGGAATAAGCTTGTGTTTGAGAGTTGCTGTTCTCTCTCTGTACCTGAAGTCTTGGTCTCTGAAAAATCACAGCCAGCTCTGCCACCTGCTCCAGTACCTGTTCAAACAATGTAAGTGCTCTCTGCAAGACACTGGGGAGCGCAATACAAAGTGAAAGACCCTCCCTGACCCCAAGGGGCTTTTCTTCTACGTGGTGGGGGTGGCGGTGGAGACACACAACATGGCTGTAGGTGAGTATGTGCATCAGAAGTTAAGGAGAGAGAGGGCGCAGGAAAAATGGGACAAGAGGTGAAGAGAGACGGCCTCACTGTATTCCAGCTTGGCAGAGACTCAGAGGCAGGGGTTAGAACGCTAAGTTCTGGTAAGGGGACAGGCCAATTTGCCTGTACTGTAGTATAATAAAGCAAGCGAATGGGAAACCAACCTAGAAATGTCATCTAGAACCTGATTGTTAAGGACTCCAAGTGCCACATTGAGTAACCAGGCAGCAGTGGGCCACTGGAGGGTATTGGGCTCTGAGAACATGATTTTGGTGCCTGTTTTGGGGGAGGAATGGGGATGGGGAGGGGCGGGGGGAGGGCCTTGAGACTGGGGACCCACTGCAAAGTCATCTTGGCAGTGAGCATAGTGACTGTGCCGGTGGAGAGAAGGGGGCTGAGGTGGCATCTGTTGGGGAGGCAGAATCTCCAGGGCTTGACAGTCGATTGGATGTGGGGGATGAGATCCAGAAGGACTAGGTCAGTGGGAAGGATGATGCCCTCACCAGAAATAAGGAGCCGAAGAGTAGCGATGTAGGTGTTTGCACAGGTTAGGATGCCCCTGGGACATTGGATTGGAGGTGATGCTAGCATGAGTCTCTGAAGGGCGCTGGATACACTGATGGACAAGTTCTTTGGTGGATTGTGTAGAGAAGGAGATGAAGAGAGAAGTGAAAAGAAGGGAAGGAAGTGGGGACGAGGACAGAGCCGTGGAGAGCGACCAGCATGGGGGCAAGATGTGAGTGGTGATCCAGCAAAGGAGACTGAAGAGAAAGACTGGAAGGGGAAAAGGGGTGGGAAGCAAAGAAGCATTTTTCTGGCACCTTCTATGTGCCAGTTACCATGCAGAGGACTTTAGAAATATTAGGTCATTTGATCCTCATGACAGCCCTTTATTATCCCCATTTTACAGTTGGAGAAACTGAGGCAGACAGAGACTAGCCCAAGGTCCCACCGCTAGTAAGTACCTGAGCCTGAACTGGAACTCATGTCTTCCTGATTCTGAATCTAGTTCCATGTCCGCTGCAACACCAAGTTGCCTAATCAGGAAAACCAGGATTCAGCATTGTCCTGAAAATCCAGGAAGGAGAGACCGTCCGTGGTTCTGGATGGTCAGCTGTGTCAAATACTGCAGAGGGTTCAAGAAGAAATAGAGCTGAGAAAAGACCATGAAATGTAGCAATTTAAGAGATTGTTGGAGAGCAGTTTCAGTTGAACGATGAGATTAGAAGCCGTGTTGCCACGAGTTTGTTAAGTGTTTGGGAAGAGAGGACGGTGAAAGTACATAGCTTTTAGGAGGAAGGATTGAAGGTGACTGAAGGCCAGTAAGCCCAAGGGAAGGGGCCTCACGTCCTCTGCAGTCCATCTTTCTGGTCCCCGTGCCGTCGGTCTGTCTCTCATCTCAGTGCCTGGAAGGCCTTGCTCCCTCCTTGCTTCCAATTCCTGGAACATCTCTTTCCTTCAGAGCTCAGCTGAGGCACCACCTGGTCAGCATGCCTTTCCTGAACCCTTCCGCTGCCTAATGCTCCTCCCCAGCCCTCATCCCCAAATTGCATCAACTTTTTGAAACTTCACCAAAATAAATGTTTGTTTTGCAGACAAGGAAGATCTTCCCTTTCTAGTGTTTTCCTAAGGTCTGGCTCCCTCTGAGCTGAAAAGCCTTCATATTCCAAGACATTGAGGGGATGATAAGAGAGATTGAGCCCTTTGATCTCAGAAAGCTCTCAAGCTCTTACTGCTTTCCTTTTTTGTGGTGTGTGCTGCAACTGCTTTTAAGTTCTCCCAGGCTTTATATTAGTGGCCACTAATTGAATGGTCTCATATATTTATTTTTGCTTTTTTAACTGGAAGATATGTATTTTATGGTAAAATGGGGTTGTTAGCAAAATAGGGAGGTCTATTGCTGACCTAATTCGTGAGAAAACAATTGGTAATAATGACGATTATAAATGTAACAGCCTTTTGATCTTTTTAAACACCGTAGGAAATCTGCACTGGAGGCAGCTATTAGAAAGAAGATCGAATATGAGAGGAAAGCCTTGCACATTGTTGAACAGCTTTTGGAAGCAGACATTACGGAAGCATTCCTTGTGGAATCTGTAGGTGTTTGCAGATTTTGAAGTTTGTGGTCCAGCACATTTAAGTATTTGTGTTTAAAGTGTTATGGCATGATAGTTGTCAGAGTGCTCGGGTGAGCGCTCTTGATCACGTAAATGTTGTCAGTAATTCTGCAGTGCGTGCAGTTCAAAAACCCGGGGCTCAGTGTTCTTCTCACTGGGAAAGCACAGAACTCTTTCCCCTTAATTCTTTCAGGTGGAAGACACTTTGTAAAATGAAACCAGTGTGTTTCTCACCTGCTTAGAAGGAACTAACTCCCTTAAGTATGCTTCTGCTGACTTGGGGTCAGTATATTTTAATATGGCCCCTCATCTCCCTGATACTTGCTTATTCCCCAATTCATTCCCTGGCCCCATAACTGCCTTATAGATACTAAATTCAACCCAGGGCTCTCAGTTGTGGTGTTTCCTTTTATTCCCCACCCGTTCCCCCAGCCTGTGGTCTTAAAGAGAACTTGGCAGACATATGATGAGAGATGTGGAGAAAAGTCATAGATTTCTGTGCAAAAAAATAGTTTGTTTTCTGTATATTTTTGCAAGTTGTAAGAAAGCCCGTGAGTATATTCTCAGTCCAGTCCTGGTAAAGACTCTATGGCTCCTTTTTTTCCTGCAGGGAAAGCAGATCACATCTGCACATTACAGGGATGTCGTGGAAGAACGCTTCATCATCCGTCTCTGTGGTTACCCTTTATGTCACAGCAAGCTAGGAAATGTAAGTCATTGGTTATTAGATGTGCTGACCGTGTTAAGGCTTTACTTTTGTAACAACGTAGTTTGAAGCAAGTGAAGTGGGTACTATAGCTTAGTCAATGTTATTTTATTCTACTTTTAGGTGCCAAAACAGAAGTATAGGATTTCTACCAAAACAAATAAAGTCTATGATATAACTGAAAGAAAGGTAAGCCTTAAGGACTATTTTCAACAACCTTAAAAGCCTACTTGTAGTGGTTTTAAAGATTATTTCACGTATGAGTATAAATTTAGAATTTTGAACATGAACACCTTACCTTGTACTTGAGAAAGGAAGAAGCAGACAAAAGAAAATCCCATTATCTTAAAAATTATAATTTAAAAAATTCTACATCAAATCACTTAAAATTTTTTTCCTAAATCATTGTAAATGTCATTATTTTTGGACTTATAAATATTTCACATATATAAATAAAGCAAGGAAGTGCTTTTTAAAAGAAAAGTTTTTAAACTAGCAGCCTCTTCCCCTAAATTTGAAAGTCACTTAAATTCCTGGATTTGCAGTAGCCTGCTGGTGGGTCTGCCTGCCTCAAGTCTCTGCCCACTCTAATCTGTCCTCCATTCAGCCACTAAAGTGATTTTCTTAAATCCCAGGTCCAATTATGTCACCTTTCTACTCAGTCACCTCCAGTGGCTTTCTGTTGCCTCCAGGATGAAATATAAAATCCTCTGTTTAGTGTTCAAAACCCTTCATAACCTACCTTCCCCTCCCCCTGCCCTCCTACCCAGCCCCAGTTTCAAAATCTCCGTGTATCTTACTCCCACCACATACTCTTCAATCCCATGACACTGAACTCCTGGCTGTTCCACAAATAAAACTCTCCATCTTCTGATTCCAGGAGCATTTTCACTGGCTGGCCCTATGACTGGCAGGCCCTCCCTCCTCATCTTTGCCTACTGGCTTTCCTGGCTTCCTTTAAGTGCCAGCTAAAAGTCTACTTTCTACAAGAAGCCTTCCCCAGCCCCTCTTCACTCTAGTGCCTTCCTTTTGTTAAAGATTTCCTATTCATCCGGTACAGAGCCTGCTTTGTATAGATCATAAACACATTAAGGATACCCTTTTTGTATATCCAGAGCTTAGCCAAGTGCCTGGCACATAGTAGGTGCTTAATAAATGTTTGTTGGATTTTTTGATTGATTGAAAGAAAAGTTAAGTAAACTTAAAATTAAAATGCAAAAAGTATTTTTTAATACTTTTCTTTTCTTCAGTTTTTCTGCAGCAATTTTTGTTATCGAGCATCTAAGTACTTTGAAGCTCAGATTTCCAAAAGTCCGTTGTGGGTTCGAGAAGAAGAAAGGTAATTTAAACCATAATGTAAAAGCATTTCTTCTGTTTTCTTTAGGGAAATAGTGGAGAGCTGGTAAATATTGTATCTGAAAGCTTTTTAAGATAGGAAACACAGGAAAACCATTTAACTTTTAATTGGTTAATTAGAATTAACCTCTAACCAAATTTAATTTTAATTAACCAATTAGAAAGTCAAGTTTCTAATTAACTAAAAACATTATAATCAGGAAGTGAAATGTTAGCTTTTGGCCATTACTGGGCTGAACATGCACGCCTTGCCCCTAAAGCTCTATTTGGTTACTACAGATGTTTATGCAGACTCCAACTTGTACTTGACTGCTTTAGCTTTGGATTTGGTTTTAAACTGCCTCTCCAAGCGTGTTCCCTGGCCCTGCTTGTTTAGGTTGAACATTGCTAATGTGTTGGGGCTTGTCACTGAATGGGGATGACTTGGCTTCTGATCATAAAACTTGTGTTGTCTGTTACAACCTTGCTCTGGAACTTTGAGGGAAGCCATTTAGTTTTTCTTCTTCTCTGTCTCAAATGTCAGAAATTTCCACGTGGTCTTTCTGTTCTATAATTGAATAGGTTATTGTCCTAAGTACTTATAATTTACTGAAGAAATTGTTAAGTATATTAGCCCAGACCAATTCTCTCTGTGGGCAAGGCAGCGGGAATAAATCCACAAGAGGAAGGAAGCTGTCCTTGCCCCCAAGGAGCCTTCTTCTTCTTGGGGCTACAAGATGTGCCCAGGACGGGGAGAGAGCTCTCACCATGGGGGACCTGAGGGACACCTTCCCAGAGGTGGTGGTAACTTCACAGAGGAGCTGAGTCTCAAAGAGAGGTCACTGATGGGAGGGGAGGCAGGTGGCCTGGGCTACCCACACGTGAGGACGTGAGATGGAGTGATAGTAAATGAGGCTGGTGAGAGGGAGACGGAAGCCACGCTGTGGAAGGGCTTAAAGCTAGACCAAAGAATGTGTATTTTATCCTAGAGGCAAAGGGAGCCCCCTGCAGCCTTCAGAGCAGGGCAGTAAGATCACACCATTTTCATAGAATTTCAGATGTTACCCAGGTCGTTCTACCCATCCTTGACAGACAGGTAGATGGCCGGCCTGTACGTGAAGACCCACAACCTCCCAAAACACACCCCTTGAACAGCTCTCATTGCTAGGGAGTCTTCCTTGGTAGCAGGCCTAAAACAGCCTCTGCAGTTTCCCCCCGCCGTTGCTCTGGTTCGGCCCTCTCCTGCCAGACAGAACAAGGCTATTCCCTCTTCCACACAATCCCTACAGAGAGGTATCTGGCCCCACCTGAGTCTTCTCTTCTCCAGGTTCAACCAGGAGTTTATTCAGTCCATCCTCATTACCCTTCTCTTGGCCCTTCCTGGTGTCCTTTCTAAAGTGTGACACCATAGGGCAGCTAGGTGGCGCAGTGGATAGAGCACCGGCCCTGAAGTCAGGAGGACCTGAGTTCAAATCCAGCCTCAGACCAAGCACTTGATACTTACTAGCTGTGTTACCCCGGGGCAAGTCACTTAACCCCAGTTGCCTAAAAAAAAAAGTGTGACACCCAGCACGAAGCCCTCACCCACCAAGAGCAGAGAGGGCCTGCTCCCACCTGCTTCTGGGTGGGGGGCCTTGGCCTCTTTTCCTGCAGTCCAACAGTTAAGGCTTTCTTCAGCTGCCTTATCCCACCCTGGATTCATGGGGTCCTTCAGAGAACAGTGGCTAGTCTTCCTGTGACTTAGGAAGATTGTTTGGCAGCTGTTTGGAGGATGGATTAGAGAAGGAGAGAGACTGGGAGGGAGGGACTAAGGAGCAAGTCTAGGCATGAGTTTGATGAAAAAGCGATGAAGGGTGGGATTAGGGCAGCCCAGCCTAGAGGAGAGCCTGTCCCAGGCATGGGAGGGCAGAGGAGTGGCCAGATTCAGCTGCTGATTAGTGTGGGGGTGGGGAGGGGCTGACACCGATGAAAGGCTCGTCTCACCTGGGCTTTATAGCATTCCTCTGAGGAAGGCAGCAGCTGAACCTCACTTTACAGTCGAAGAAAATGAGCATCAGAGGAGGCCTGTTCAGGTTCGCACAGCTGGTGAGGCTTGACTCCGGCTTTCCTGACATCACTCGCCACTCTGCCAGGCTGCTTCTCCCCGTTGGTATAGCCTGGTGTGAGGGAGGAGAATGGCGCCCTCAGTAAAAATGAGGATGTCTGCAGGAGAGGCCGATTGAAGGTGTAAGAAGTTGAGTTCGGCTGTGCTTACGTTGAGTTGGGATTCTTACAGGGCACGGGTGGGGGGGAGATGTTCAACAGGAAGTTAGCAGTGGCAGGGTGTCTGAGGTGGGGCAGCTCAGGAGCAAAGACAGAGTACTGTCAAGCATTCTCATGGTGTGGGGCGAGACCCTCTGTTCTTGTTGGGAGGATCTTTGTGCCAGACTTGTGTTCTCCTGGCAAAGCCTTTCAATGTGACCTTTCAGCACAGTGGGTCTGTTATCTGTGAGGTGTCAAACACCTCTGCTAATCATTCGTGTCTTTGCACGCCAACTTGGAGAACAGGGGCCATGTATGTAATATCTCTGAAGTCCACAAGAGGGCACTGGCGCTCCATATTTGTTTTTAAATCTTATCACCTAATTCATTTCACAGATTTCTTAAAAACCCTGGCAGTATGTTCAATGTTGCACATTAAATGTAAATGTTGCAGAAGTGAATGGAATTTTAAAGGGAGAAATCTTTGTGATATGATACATTGTATAGACAAAAACAGAAGGCATGAAACTTGCAGCCTGCAGGTCTCCCAAGCTTGGCTGAACCTGTTGAAAGAATTGAGAAACATTTAACAAAGAAACAAAAATACTGTACAATATAGATGATGCTGATTTGTGGCTTTCCAATCCCTTTCTATTTGAGTTTGATACCACTAAGGTAAAGAACTGACTAGCTTCTTTTAAGTAACAACTTTCAGAATTTGAGAGAATTTTTTAAAAAATCAGATCACTGTGGACATACTCTTCTTCCTCTTGTACTCAGGCCTTTGGTGTTGCTCCTGATCGATATTGTTTAAAAGTTTTTGTTGTTGACTGATGGTACCACAGTGTTATTTTTTGAACTACGTAAAATAAAAACTTAAACCCAAGTTAAGATGAAACTTTAATTTAAAAAAACCACAGAGCCAATTAGATTTGCTACTGGGAATAAATAGTTTATGAAGTATGTACCCACTGTAAGAAAAAAGCAGTGAAGATTTTCTGGCTAAGAAAATAAGTTATTTGCCAGAAACAATTAAAATGAAATTTTTTTTTAAAAAGAGTAACCTCATTTTTCTTGTGTGAGAGAAGACCATCCCTCATTTTAGAATTAAGTGAAAGTCCCCAGCTGAAAGCATTCGGGCTTTCAGGCCAGAAAGACTAAGACTAAGATTCTTCGCAGTGGACATGGCGGGACAAAAGCGACTGACAGGGAGCTGGTGCCCGAGGCGAGAGGGGAGCACCTTTTTTGGGGGGAAGGAAACTTCTGTTATAAAAATTAGGTTTCACTGCAGGAAAGCTACCGATAACATTGCATTATCATTTGGAAAATCACGAGTTATATTTAGGAAGAACAGCCAAGTGCTGGAAATGAGAGTATAATTGGAAACATCAGCCACTGTGATGCAGTGGAGAGAGTGCTGCATTTTTAGTTGGGAGACCTGAGTTCAAACACTGCTTCACTTACTTACCAGTTTGACTTTGGGCAAGTCCTCTGACTTCTCTGGGGCCTCACTTTCCTCATCTGCAAATGGAGGATTAGACTAAATGGCCTTGGGGGTCCCTTCCAGTTCTAAATCTGAACCCAAGTGGTAGGAATGGGAAACGTTGCCTGGATTGTACTGTGCGTCATGTGGCTCAGCCCAGGGGATTTTCACTTTTTGCTTCTTGGCAATAAACGTAGTGTCATCTTAGAAGTGCGGAAGCTAGAAACCTCTATAAGACAGCTTCTATAACCTCTTCCTGAACAAACCCTCCATTTGTTTCTCAATGTAGAGAAACGTTTCCAAAAAGAGGATTTAAAATATGTACCCACTCATCTTTGAAAAATCCCCACTGGTGGGCAAGGAGCATGAACAACTTTCTCAGTAACAAAGTTTCTGTGGAATTGGAGGTTGTTTCTAATTTTGAGTGTTATTATTTCAAAGTCATATTATCAATATCATGTGAATGATGATAAGAATACTAATATCTCAGATGAACCAGATTATAAGTCTTCTTGTGGTATTTTTGTTGTTATTTGTAACTGAACCTAGAACTGTCCCCATGGTAACTTAAACTGGGTAGAAGGAAATATAAGAATCTCTACCTGACCTGTACTGTGGACATGTGACATGCAGTAGAAAGACAAGTCTTTTAGCAAATGTGGAACAGCATTTGCCTTGAATAGAAAGAGCATCTGGTTTGTTTTGTGTATGAAATATCATAGATGCTGTAGAAAGTTATATCAAGTTCATTCTAAAACATAAAACCCCTCTTAGCAAAGCAAATGCAGATGTTTTACTTGGAAATCTAAACCCATTGCTTTAGAAGTACTTGGACTCCTAGTTGGAAAAACTTGTTAATGTGTCTAAGATGTTACTAACACCATGAAAGACCTCAGACATACGGAATACCCTCACCAATAGGTGGTCTGAGAAGTTGGCAGGGGAAAGGAGGTGAGGGCTTGCTCCTTCACTCTTACAAACATAGGGGGAAGTAGGTGGGGAAGCTTGTGTTTAATAACTTAAAACTGGGCTGAGACTTATGGAACCACCTGTGGAAATCATGCTGGACTCCTTAGGAATAAATGGAAGAAGGCAGTGTGGTTCAGTAGACAGAGCACAAGCTTGATGGTCAGAGGAGCTGGGGCGCACTCTGCCTCTGAGCCTGACTCTCCTGGTTACCTTAGGCAGATCACTTCATTTCCCTGAGGGGGTTGGACGAGGTAGCTTCGGAGAGTGTCTTCCAGCTCCAGAGTAGTACTGTAATCCCATGATCTACTTAA